TAATTTAGTATAAAAGACAGAATAATTGGGGATAAAAATATGATAAATTCTACTCTCATCAGTATGGAACATGGAGCAAAAAAATGGATGCTTACACCAAAATAATTTAATATTTATTATCACTCGGTATTGGTGGGTGGAGAAAATAATATATATGGATGGAGCTGTTTGGCAATATCGAATTTTTGGGCATCTGTAAGCTTTATGGATCTTTTTAGTGGAAGCTTTATGATTTTCATCATTTTGGGCATCTGTAAGCTTTATGGATCTTTTTGGTTTTCTGGCATATTTTAGCGAAAGGAGAAAGACCAAATTTTTAGTCTATCAAGCTCTGAACAGCCGAAAAGGTCCCACGAGAAGAATTGCCAAAATGCCCCTACCCTTTGTCCCTTTCTGTCTCTCTCTCTCTCTCGTTTAATGGGACTGGTTGTCATGAACAATGTTTATGCCTACTGTCAACAGATGATTTCAACCTACTACGTTCTCAAGCCCACTAGCCACTAGACACTAGTGCATGGAAGATGAAAAATCTAATAGGTATAAAGGCAATTTTTTGTATTTTAGGGAAAAAGATTATTTCTTTTCCATTTTCTGATTTCTGATTGTTTAAACACTAAAACTCTGTTCATTTGTTCTGAGAGTGGCATATAATTACATTAAAAGGTATTATGTTATTTTAAATTTTGAATTTTGAATTCTGAAAATTATTAAATATTTATTTTAATTTCATATTCAAAAATTTTTGTTCATATTTTGAAGATACCATTAAAAAATAAAAAGATTTAAGACTCCTCTTTAAGAAATAAGAGGAAAGGAACACCCATTTTCTTCTTAAAATTGAAAGCATTTTCTTAAGAAAGCAGAGGAAATAAAGAGACCCTAACTTTCTTTCATGCCACCCAAGATTCAAAATATCGATACACCCGATACATTGGTTCAGAAGGGGTCAGTTTAAGGTCCATCCACCCTTTGAACTGGTCAAGACCCCAAAACACCCCTGTAAGAACGTATCGAAAAGTCCTGAATATGATACGTATCAACCTCGATGCCACTTGCATCATGGACATGGCTCACTCAGACTGCTTCACATGAAGAATAAAAATAACAAAAGGAATGAACACATCAACCCCATCCAGTTGATGTGTTATCTTCTCGATATCGTGTTCTCTTCCCGATATCAATATTCACTAGTGAATGACCCCGTACTAAGTATGGGGAATCAGTAATGTTAAATTTACATTATGGAATCAATGCTGTTAAATTTATAATTATTAATATTTTAAATAATTATTAAAATTTCAAGAAATATTTATATTCAAAAATAGTTTTTCAATAATTATTAGAATATGGATAATTTTCTTTTGTTATGATACGTAGAGGGTTTGTGGATAACCACTTTTTCATTTTTTGCATTATTTAGGAATGAATTGAAAATGGCGGTAGTGGGTTGTGGGCTTTAGCAGCAACTTCTCAAAAATATCATGTGTCTAGCTTTTTCCATAAAAATGAGAAGGCCATGTGTCTAAAATCTGAATGGTAGGAGGCTGTAGCCTGTAGTGGGTTGTGGGCTTTACCAAGAATTTCTCATTGTCATGTGTCTAGCTTTCTAGAAAATAAGAATGCCACTTTTCTAAATGGTGATAATAGGTTTTGGGCTTTAATAACAACTTTTTAGAAAATGTCGTATGTCTAAATTTGAAAAGCCACGTGTCTGAATGGTGGGGATTGTATCCTGAAAACCTTCTTCTAATATATACTAGTGAATGACCCCGTACTAAGTACGGGAAATTAGTAATGTTAAATTTATATTTATTAATATTTTAAATAATTATTAAAATTTCAAGAAATATTTATTTCAAAAAATAATTTTTCAATAATTATTAAAATATTGATTGAAAGTGTTTGTGGATAACCACTTTTGTATTTTATGCATTTTTTTAAGAATAGATTGAAAATGGTGGTAGTGGATTGTGGACTTTAACATTAACTTCTCAGAAAATGTCGTGTCTAATTTTCCAAAAAAAAATGAAAAGACCATGTGTCTAAATGGTGAGAAGTTGTAGCCTAGTAATGGATTGTGGGATTTAGGAATTTCTCATAAATTACCAGTTATGGATTCTCAAAGAATACGATATGACTAAATTTGAAAAAGCCACTGAATAGTTTCTTTAATATATATATACTAGATATATTACAGATATTAAATTAGCGCAAAATATTTTAGCCAAAAACAACTCTCGCCACGTCATTAATATCGCCGGCTCACGAATTCAGATTTCCTTCTCATAAATATTTCGAACACCCACCTCACTGTCACAGGCTACGTTGCAGCCGCACATCGTAACATCTTATGTTTAGATGTTCCCAATTCACGGCTGCAAGCAAGTGATGATTGTGAGGAAAATTGTGTAAGGAAGAAATCCGGATTCGTCTCAACTCTCAAGTCCCTACTGCCCCACAGGTTTTTTTATCACAAGCGTTGTGCATATGGTGCTTTCACAGCCAAATTCACGCTTTGATAAAGCGTCAGATGCTCAAATGCGTGGGACCCAGGTCATCGTTCGGTCAAAGAAGAAGAGGACCGCACAGAGATCATGCAGCGCGTTGCATTTTATTATAAGGCTTATGTGAAATTTCAAAAAGCTGTTGACGAAGTCCTCCAGAGAGGAAACAACTGTCACGGATCTCCCGCCGGTTTCGGTGCTTGGAGGATAGACGGGATTAGTCATTAGGGTTAGGGTTAGGTTTTTGGTGATGAAGAATCAAGTAGCAGCAAGTTGTTCTTGTTGTTGACGCGCGACCTAAAGGCCGACCGTCTCCATTAATGGTGCAAGAGATAAATTAAAAAAAAAATAATTAAACAAATTCTACGCGTGTTTTGGTTGACGAGGGCATTTCACACGGATTCTAGTTTTCTTCTTCGTCCTTGATAGGAGAATCCGCGGGGAGAGATGAGCTCCGGATCCATGAAGGTCGAAACCCAGGAAGATAGATTTTGATCCCAGAAGCAGAGGAAGGCAAGAAAGGAAAGGATCAATAGATGAATTCGAAGTTCTTCTATGTAAGTTCTTAGGGATTGAGAGAAATGGTTTGGTGATCGATCACAGGAAACAAAGATTTGATCACGATCTTGTAAAAGCGTTCAATTTTGGTAGTTAGAGAAGAGAACTCGGAATCGGTTGACGGGAAATAAAGACGCATGGAGAAAAAGGTGAATACAAGCTTGTGAATCCGATGGAAAGTAGGAGCCGGATTTTCGTATAATTGCAGTTTGAAAGTAGGGATTCTGAGGGAGATAGAGGATTGATTGGATTTATAGGAAGATACAGTGTAAAAATGAGCGGTGACGAACCGTTGAAACTCGATGATGAGCAGATTGCAGAACTGAGGGAGATCTTCCGATCATTTGATCGGAACAATGATGGCAGCCTAACCCAGCTTGAGCTTGGGTCATTATTGAGATCACTTGGACTCAAACCGAGTCAGGAACAGCTCGACGCTCTAATCCAGAGGGCTGATATGAACAACAATGGTTTTGTTGAATTCTCTGAATTCGTCGCCCTGGTGTCGCCGGAGCTCCTCACTACGAAATCTCCGTACACAGAAGAGCAACTCCGGCAGCTATTCCGGATGTTTGACCGTGATGGCAATGGATACATTACAGCGGCAGAATTGGCCCATTCCATGGCCAAGCTTGGTCATGCCCTTACGGCAACGGAATTGACAGGAATGATTAAGGAGGCCGACACTAATGGCGATGGCCGTATTAACTTCCAGGAATTCTCTCAGGCTATCACTGCTGCCGCTTTTGACAACTCATGGACTTGAAAGCATTTGACGTTGCTGGTGTGTGTTCTTCTTCTCATCATTCTCTCCTTCCCCCTTTTCACACCGTTCTTTTCTTTCCTCTATTGTTTGTTTCAAGCGTACAATCATTCGGGTTCTCTGTGAAATTGCCTGGAATCGGCCAAGAGTCGATCGGTTGTTGTTGAGCAGAGACAAATGGATGTTTGAACTTTCAAGTTTCAATGTTGAAGATCACACAAATGGATGTTTGAACTTTCAAGTTTCAATGTTGATTTCAAGGTTATATACTTAGAGGAGCATCTAGGTGTGAAGCCAACGTTGAACATTTACAGATCCGAACTGGAAAAAAAAAATCAATGCATTGCATTTGTATTGATGTTGGATTATGTTGTTTTCGTTTTTGAAAATGACAACAGGATTCTCTAATATTTTCTTATGCACAAATTGGTGTAATAAAAAAAATGCAACAGAAAAAACTTTCATTACGGACCAATGTGCTTTTACATTATTCTTTTCTTTATTTTTAATGGTGAAAGAGGAATATGAATCATCCAGAAGAACAGAAATTTCAAAACAACCATTCCCATTGAAAACAATATCATGCGGAAAAGTTATACTAGAATCTACCCCAGGTTTGATTTTTTTTCTTATTTTCAATAATCACTAACAACAATGCTACCAACTTCCCACACTGGGAGAACTAGTACCAAAATTTTTCTTTGTGAGAATCCCTAGCGAAGTTAAGAAACAATACTACCAATTTCCACCATAATATCTTTTATGTAGATCAAATTTACCAGTTTGTGCTCTCCGCCAAATCTATGCTTTCTATTAATTGTGTAGTTTATATGTATTCTGATTCAGTTTTGTTGGTTTCTGGTAAGAATGCATTTATGTATCAAAAAGTGACAGCTTTCACAAATTTCGATGCATGTTTGCATCTAAAATGAGAGCAAAGTTTGCATCCAAAAAATGGATATAAAGTTGGTCAATGTAAAAAAAAGGTACATTGGAATCTAAGAATTTGTGTTTATATCCATTTCAATCTATCACTATCACTGCAATATTAAATCAATTTTGCATTTGTATGGACCAGAATGCACTCTACATACTTGTATTTGCACTCTTTCCAAATGGAGCCTCTTAAAATGCATTCTACATCATTTGTATTTGCAGTCTTCTTAAATAGAGCCTTATTCATGTCACGGTTTCTTTTAAAAGAAATACAATCCAAAATCCAATCTATTTACTAAATGCTCCGTGTCTGTGTCTTGCCATGAGAATTTCCGACCAGCTTCATCAAACAAGGGGTTAGTTAATCCCTCGGAGTTGTCATTAAGGACATGAAGAGATCCTGCGTAGATCTTTCAATGGGACCAGTCCTGAACCAATTGGGACAATTAAGCAGAGCATGGGAGCCTCTTGTCATGGGGGTGGTTCTATAGCGGAAGAAACCCGTACGGCGTCCAGGCCAAGGTAGGCCAAGACAAGCCTTTGTATGCTTGGAGGCTAGGAGTTGCCCGATGAGATGGCTCTGGCCGGCCCATGGGAGGCACCTCTTACATGGTAAAGGGGGACGGCCATAATGAGAGGCGCCTAGGCGCCGATGAGAGGTGACTTGGCACCAATGTGAAGGGTCTCCTATATGCCGATGATGTAGGTACCTGTGTGCCATGATGATAGGCAACCACTTGGGTCAGAACACACCCATGCGTTAGGGGCAACGGGATAGCTCATTCAGCTTGGGCAAGGGGTTGGCGTGGTGAAGGGTCATGCTTGAGCCAGGCCCGCATGCCAAGCCTCCCTTGAGTGTCGGTAGCGCAGTGTCAATCCATGCATTGTCCCCATGAGGAACCCTGGTAGTCATGCTAGCCATTAACCAGGGCCACCTCACAAGGGAAGTTGATCTAGGAGTGCCAAGGTTAGGCACCCAAGGAGGTCGACCACCCCTCCTCAAAGAATACGTCAAACTTTTAGAGGTCTGCCTGAAGATGACATCAATTCTCCCAAAAATCTTACAGGCGAAAATGATTTGGATTTAGGTCTATTTTACAAGCTTTTAGAGGTGTCCCTTAACGTAAGCCCGCCAAGCGTAGACAAGGCTAAGCCCGTGTTAGACCGTAAGACTCTATCATTCATGGAGAGATGTTTGCAATACACAATGGTGATATTCTGTGGGTGGTGATGTGGGAATAGCTTGTAGGTAACAGATCCGGAGTGCTATAAAATAGACCTAAATCCAAATCAGTTATTAATCAGGATCCGATTAGACTTGAAATATTACTTGGAATTTCCATTTTTTATAAATATATTGTTAATGAAAATGACAGTAAATAATAAACTAGTTTATATATTGATAAAACAAGTGTCTTTAACCAAAGTTATCTTGTTATGCCTATGATTTCATCCTTTTAAATATAAAATATAACAAAAATTACAAAAAAAAAAATAGACCTTTACATATTAATTACATAATCGGCTCAGGACTTAACTGGTTCTGAACAGCAAAAACAGGTTCCAACAAATTAAAATTGAGACACAAAACTCATAACCAAAACTGACATAATTGGTTAGTTTGGATGGTGTTTGGCACCGGTGTGTTTCATTAGGGATTCGTTTCTCAGAGAATCACCTAACGGTTGAAAAATGTTCTATCATCGTTTCACAGAAAAATGCATTTGATTCTGTTTCATGCCACATTCATCAAGAAAAAACGTTTTTCCCATAAATGTATTTTGGCAGTGTGGTGTTTCTCCATAGCGATTTGTCTCTAACATGACTTCATGCAATGCATGTGCATATGATGCACGCTATTATTCTAATCCAACATCATAGATTTAGGGCATAGAAAATTAGAAAAAAGGCATGATTTAATACATATAAATTTACTGAATAAAAATGCATAATTTTATTATAATCCAACGCCATATATATAACATAACTCAAAATCTGAATAAATAATTTAATAAATATTTGCAAATAAATAGCAATGTTTAAAAAAGTTGTGAGCAAATAAAACATAAACTTAATTAAATATGAATTAAATCATAGAAAATTAGAAACAAACTAGATTTAAAGATACACAAAAATAGCTTAAAATAAATAAAAAAAAGTTATTTTATTAAAATAATACTAAAAGGAACAAGCATAAACCTTTTGCAATAAGCACATAAAAAAAATTACTTCTATTTGCATGAATACTTCCACAAACATTAAAATTACAAATAAAGAGGTGGGATTAAAAAGTTTGAAGTAAATAAAACATAATTTTACGGCATGGAAAATTAGAAAAAAAAAAAAACTTCATTCAATTATAGATACATAGAAAAAGTTTATTCAAAAGACATTATTTTATTAAAAATAACTTGGACATGGGTTCAAATATCCACATTAAATATAAACAAAATTTCAAATAAATAACTATATTAATAGTTTAAAGAATAGAAAATTAAAAAAAAAAAAGGTTTAAAAACTTAAAAAATTTTTAAGAATTCTAAATAAGTAACATCCTTAGATTTAACATGGGATAGTGTAGCACTTAAATAATTCATAAAAAATAAAACATAATTCTGCTAATACATACAAACTATTTTGCACATGAGTTCCAATTGACATATATGTTTACATAGGTGGGCCGAAAGTTAATACCAAGAGGCGCATGCCTATTAACCCAAAAAACCTAACCCTTGGTACTTAATTACTGAATAAACTAGTTTTGTAAAGCAATATTTTATTAACAAAAAGCTAGAAAACACTTTAACAGGGGTTCATCTGCTAACAGATCTCGTCATTTACCTTGCAAGAACACTGGACACTGCTCGATGAAGGCAAGAGCAAGAAGAAATCCCTTCCGGTGACCGTCTGCAATGGGATGCATTGGAGGCTAAAAAAACAGTGTCATGAGAAGAAAATGGTGTTCAAACAGTGGTCTCACTAAAGCGAATGTCGATGAAGAGGAGCCCTCAACGGCAGCAAGAAATGTGGAAGAGAAAGCTGAACAGCCGACAAGGTTGATCAAGTTTATCCGGTGTGGCAAATTGCCAATTTGGATAGCAGTTGGAGCCATATTGGATTACGTTGTCGATTCAAGAAACGTCAAAAAGGTGTTTCGAATTAAAAGGTGAAATTGGGAATTCCGAGGCAAAAATGTTTTGATTGCTTCTAAGAAAAACACGGTGCCAAACACTCGTACCGGTTCCATTTATTTGCTGATGTGTGATTCATGCCACATCAGCAAAAACGAATTGCTTGTGAAATGCACCAGTGCCAAACACCCACTTGGTTTTCGGTTTGGCTCTTTCTAATAAACCAAACCCATTAACGGCTCCAATCGTATCCCTTTCCCTTCCTGGTTTAGTTTCGAGTCTGTTTTAACTTTTGACATGAAATCCATCATTGGGTGAAATCTCCACCCAAGAACACTTATATCCAGTATTTTCACCAAAATGAATATAAAAAAATGCACTGCAATCCACTGCAGAATTCTGAATTCTATTGCAGACCTACAACAATTCAAAATGTCAAACACCCCCACCCTAAACACTAATACCCGCCCTATGTTGACATCAATTCCAAGCTGGTACCTACCCCAACTGTGCGATAGGACTAAGAATTCTGAGAGTGGGCTGAAGTCATTCTCCCAAATAAATATGGGCGTTTTAGGATTTATAAATATAATCATATAGAATCAATAGCCAGTTCTCTCGGGCATTACTACTAACCCAAGCAGGGCAGGTTGCTGGAACAACTCTTCTATCCCTTGCAAAGTTGCTAGCACCACATCATCAGTTCATCACGTAGATGAGGATCAAATACAAAACTTGAGTGGAATAACTGAAGTATTCCTTTCGATCCACAGTGCTTATCAAATCTAATGTAGATGAACAGATCATGGTCCCGCTTCCTCCCATTGAAGCATGACCTAGAATATTGGAACAGACCAGAAGTATCATCAACTTGCAAACTGAAAAAAAAAATGGAGGATCAAGAGAAAAAGTAGAACCTAAATGTGGAGGATATAAAGCTGTTAATTACGAATTAGACCAACCTGTGCCACTTCTGCGATAAGTTTTGGCTTGGCTTCTTGCGTCAATGAGATCATCAACAAAAAGACTGGATAATGAATTTGGGTTTCACCTCCAAGGTTGGCATTCAAAGTATTAATCTTTGTGGCATGGTCCAAGGTCTGCCAACTGAAAAGGCTGGGTGGCATTTTGCATTCGCTCCCTAGAAAAGATGAATCAAGCTCTCCTCAGCAAGTGGTCATAGAGAAATGGGGAAAAGTAAAGTTTATGGAGAAAGGTAGTTCAAATAAATATGCAAATTTCGATAATTGGGAAGCAGCTCCATTGAGGACCAAGGACATCATATGATCCAGCTTATCATGGGTGTTGCCTAAAGTTACAACAATATTCGGCATAACAAGAAATGTTTCTACTGTTCTGGGAGCAGACAAGAAATGTTCTGTTCCTGGAACATCAGATATCCCATTAGAATGTTTCCCGAATGCCACATAAGAAGTAGAATTGGGTGAAAGATTTTCCTCTTTACAAGAACAACTTCACAAATTACAATCATATCCAATTCATGCACCAACAAGGCAACAAGCTAAATATCAAAAACCACAAGGGCAAATTTAAGATTTAATGTCTCAAAGGAACAGAAATAGCAGGGTGTCAATAATTGACAAAGAATATAAAATGTGTAATCTGTTATCACTTCAAAGCAGCTACGATATGTATACAACCAACCAGAAATAAATAATCCAGGCTCATGTTAGTTAACGAGGAAGGAAATTGTAAATTCCTCAAGCCTTCTTTTTCGATTTAAGCATCACAAGTCCAATAAAGGCACATAAGAAGCAGAGAAGTGCCACACCAGCAACCACAGGTATCAATATAGCATATTCTCGAGGGAGAAAGTACTTGTGGATAAAATGATCACCGTCTACAAAGGGCTGCAAAATAATAGAACCAAAGAAAATTACAAATAGGAATATGGTTAAAATACATAACCTAAATAGAACGGAAATTGGGGAACTAACCAGGATGATGACCCAAAATGTATAATAAGTGAATATAGATAAGCTGATAACAGATAACAGAAACCCTACTGCCCTGTCTGCCAACTCCATGGTGTTATTTATAGTCTTCACCTATAGAAAAAATTATGTGAGTCATTTACTTCATAAAATTCTAGAAAATATAAGAGGAAAAAATTAATCATAGAACTGAAAATTTGTATCATTTAAGTTATCCCCAAGATAGAAAGGATAAGGACAAACTATGCCAAAGTGGAGCTTATTATTCTGTTTTCTCTTTTGTTAACAATACCATTCTGCTCCAGTGTTGAAGATCTCATAAAAATTAGGGTGGGAAAGGGGTTGACCCGAACATGGGTTTCTACAAAAAATCAGCAATATATGGCTCATTACTCTAAACATAACTTGTCACAGACCTGCAACAATCGCATCTCTCCTAGTTCCCTACATCTTTCCTCTAACATTTCCCCAAGGAATTTCTATCTAGAGCATAGTACTTGTAAACAAACTACCACAAAAAGAAATGAATATTGCAAGGTGTAAACAAAGAACAAGTCAAATATTTTTAATTAGATTATTACTATTTTACAAGTTAATCAATATTACCAAGGCCAAATACAAATGCTTCAAGTTCATGAAGCAAATTCCTCAAAACGTAAATTGTAAGCCAACATCAATATTCAGCTATCTACTACTAACTGGCAAAGCCCTCAAAAAGTAAAGTCTAGCATTTTATCTTCATATCATTTATTATCAAGTAAAGAAAAAGTGAAATTAGCTGTTTCATTGTCCACCATTGCTGGTCAAGGAGTATTCTCTCTCCCTCTTGGTCTAATCCAATAACTTTGTCCCATCTCCAAAACTTCCTATTAATCTCCTCTCATCATTAGCATTAAAAAATCCTTAAATTATTGTGTATCTTTTCTTCTTGATTCCTGTGTTTTTGACCATTTGACCACCAGGAGGATGCTTGGGAGAGAAATCGTGGCAGATAAATACTACATCACTACATGTTAGACCAAGTGACTGTTTCTAAGGCAACTAAATCTACTAGTTTCATTAGTTAGTCAATCAGTCATTATAATAAAAGCAAATCTATTGAGGGCACAATTGGTTAGGTCATCTATCATTTCTCTCTAACGATTTGTTTCCTGAGAACCACTCAAACACTCTTTGTATAACTTTTAAGAACCCAAAATAAAATCAGTTGAGCTTATTAATGTGTAAAATTCAACCCAGCTCAGCTCAAGTAAGCCTTGTCCCAACTATATGGATGTTTGTTAAAGCTTGTTCCACCATTCCACTCTTTTGCCTGTCCAATCAATTTCCTCGTAGGCCCCCAACCTTTTTTACGAGTCTAACAACCAAGGCATGTACCCAACCATACTAAGTTTTATCAGTCCCTAAAAAGAAAATATACAAATAAATATATAAAGCTGCAATTCACATCTAGATGAATCGTATCTTTGAAAATAAAGAAATCCAATTTGATCCCAGAGAATATAATTTTTTAGAAGAATAAAAAATTTGTATTTGAAATAATAAAAGATGTAGATAAGTTGATGTATGGATTGCACAGAACGTGGATAAAGGTAGCCCCATCTAAACATCAAGGTGCTGTCACCATACAAAAGGACCTCATCAATCATTGATTTGGCAAGCAAAATTGGCCTTGGCACCAAGTTCTCTAGGAATCCAGCTAGTATGGGTATTAATCATGTCCATTAATTCTCAAATTTCATCAAGTCAGTGTTTCCTGTCCCAACCTGGATTGCTTGGCTGCCCACCTATTGGCACCACATAATTGCAATTTTAGAGTACACCATGAATTACTTAGTAAGAGATATGGAATTGTTTATCCATACAAACTCCGCAAAAACAAAGCCCTGCTTCTATGGAATTGGCATCCACTATTAGCCAACTGAACACCAAATCCATAGTTGCATCTGCTCTACAAAACAACCAACCAATCCCAACGGGTCATGGTTCCCTCTTGACATCAAGTTGAAGCCTATCCCTGCCAAAAATTCAGGGAAGCCATGGGACCCTCAAGGAATGATTCACATGAGGGAATAGCAGAATGTGAGGTAGTTCCTTTTTCTAAGGCCATTGCAAAAATATCTCTATGTTTCTTGGTGGCCAGATCCAAGAATTAATGTTGGGTAGCACCCCCCAGCCCCCCCCCCACCAATGCTTCAAAGGAATACTTTATTGTCAAAAATTTTCTATTCCTTTCTTCCCAAATACACCACAATGAAAGATCGTCAGATCCTTTTTATTTACCAACGCACAACTCACAAGTTTTGGTTCGCCCACATAAAGCTACCCAAACAAAAAGAACACTCTAGGTGGAATCGACAAAAGCCAGTCTTCTCTCAAGCAAAAGATTTGCATCAGTGTCAGATGTGATAGCCAAATTAAAGTGGAAAAGGTTCCAGTGGAGGTAAGAGACCAAATGCAATGATCAGGGAGAGGGAGAATTAAAGACAACACTGAGGCTAGTCTAACAACAGAAGATATGGCTAGAAATCTGTTACCTCTTTCTATACAATTCATTCTTTCATAGTAATGATTAGTCTAGTAACTGACTTGTAATCAATTTCAGTTGCTCAAACATATCTTAGTTATGTAGCATTGCTTCCTTTTAGATCTATTAGTGGTGTAGAAGAATAGCAATATAAATAGATAATGTTAAAATACTCAATGAAAAGGCTTTCCAAACTATCATTTTCTTGAGACCAAAAGAGTCCCTAAAACTTAGAGATTTCAGCAATGAGGATGCTTTCAAAATCAATCTTTTCACATATTGGAGTCCAAAGGGAAGTCCCAAAATCAGAAATTTCAACACTAAGAAAGCTTTTTAAAATCAATCTTTTCACATGCTAGGACCCAAAGGAAACCCCAAAATCAGAAATTTCAGCACTAGAAAAGCTTTTAGAATCAACATTTTCACATGTTGGGGTTCAAAGGAAATCCCAAAATCAGAAAAAAATCCAGCATTATGAAAGCTTTTAAAATCAATCTTTTCACATGTTAAGACCCAAAGGAAACCCCAAAATCAGAAATTTCAGCACTAGAGAAGCTTTTAGAATCAACATTTTCACATGTTGGGGTCCAAAGAAAATCCCAAAATCAGGAAAAAAAATCGGCAAGGGTGTGCTTCCAAAAAAGATAAAATTCGTCATATTGAGTTGACAATCCACACAAAGCAAATGACATTCTCACATGGACCCATTACTATAACCATTCAAACTCATCAAATATTAGATTCCAAAAACAGTGTGCAACCTGAAATTTTTAGCATGTAAAAGTATCCCATTATCACCTCATCATGTCATGCCTTCAAGAATGTAAGCCACCCAAAATCTCACACAATCTCATGCTAAATCAAAATTTTACTTACTATAACAAGAAATCTTTGCGGGAAAGATCGGGCCGGTCGTCTTCTCCAACATCGGCATCAAAGATATTGAAGAATAAAATAAAGGGAAAGAGGGTCTTCGGTCTTGAACTCTAGAGACCCGATTCAACGTTTGTTCAGTCCGAACTCAGGTAATATGAAGTTAAAAAAAAAAAAGAAAGAAAAAAAAAACCAATAGCCTGCATAGGTCAAACCACAACTGAACTAATCGAGCATTGAATTTAACATTGTCTTGAATATAAGGAATAAAAAAAAAAGAAAACGGAAATTAGGAGCTTACTGCCTAACAAACGAATGCTTCGTTATTGAAGAAATTTATCAATGAAAGACATCAGCGACAGAGAAAGTTAAATCAAACAAAATAATTAAAGAGCTGATCCATCCACAAGATATTTAGGAGACGATCCATTCGTTAACTCCTTCCATCACCACATTTGTCGCTGGTAAGGGATGATGCAGTGGATGACTCCGTAGAGCTTCATTGTCATCCCCAAAACCAGCAGAGAGCGAATACAATAATAAAAAAAAAAAGAAAGAAAGAAAGAAGAATCGCAAGTAAAACAGGATTTACCTGAGTTGAGATGTTGGCCGAAATTCAAATGATGCAACAGGGGGTACCGTAGTCTGATTTCTTCAGTCGACAGTGGTGACCAATGGTGATCGGTGGTTCAGTGGTGGAGATACATTAAAAAGAATAGGGGATTGAGGAGAAAGAGAGAGGAGCGCAGAGGTTGACGAAATGGAAGAGGAGAGAGGCCGGAGGGGAGAGAATCGCCACTGATTCACCGCCTCTGTCAAGAGGTTGAAGACGATGAACAGCGGTTCTCGCTTGATTTATCTCGTCGGAGAGAGAGAATGAGAGGGAGGGACCGAGGGAGTGAATGGGAGAGGAGGCAACTAGAGAGGGGAGAGGAAACGCCGGAGCTGAAAGGGCTACCGCTGCTGGTTTCTTCGTTCGAAGGGACAGTGAATAGTCGATTCCTTGAATTTATATGGGAGGAAGGGTCAATATCGTAATTTTGGGGAATCGGAGGGGCATTTTTGTATTTTCGAAAAAGTCAGGTCAAACCGGTTCGACGGATGCTCAAACCGGCGTTCTGGATGGATGGCTGCGATTTTGGGTAAAAAATGGAGGGTTGAGATGGGTCTGACCACAGAGGGTGGGTTTGCGTATATGGGCTAACAAGATTAGCCAAAATGGAATATTTTTGGATGGAAGGGCAAATGAGGGTATGTTTGGCTAACATTTTATAGGATGGGGTTTTCGGACATTCTGAGTTGATTGGTGGGGTCAGATTGGCCCAATGAGGTCCAGATTGGGCAGATCTGGAAAGGGCTCGATTCGGTTGATTTGATGGCTCGAAATGGAATCTTTGTGCGATGAAGGGGCAAACAAAGGCATTTTTGAGAAAATTTTCACAGGGTAGGGTTCTTAGGCAGTCTGAGGTGATTGGAAAGGTTTGATTGGTTTAGATGCGTTCGGATCAAGTGGATACGAGTTGAGGGTGTGAGAAGGGGCGAAATGGAATCTTTGTTTGATGGATGAGTGAACGGAGGAACCTTGAGTTCAAATTTCATGGGTAGGTGTTTTGGGAGGTTTTGGGTCTGATGGTTGTGTCTGATCTAATGGTTGAGGCGTAAGTAGGGGGCGATTGGGGCCATCGCATAGGTATCGGGTAGGTTTGACGATGGATCTAAGGGCTTTAGGGCTGAAAGTTGAGGTTTTTAGGTTTTTGGGTGTTTCGGAAGGATCATAAGGGTCTGATCAGTGGTTCAGGATGAGTTGGAGGTTCAGGTGACGAACCGAGCAAAAATCGTGTGTTGATAGTTGTGCTTGTTCTTCTTCAGCGTTGATGTACTTTTAGGCATGAATCTTCAGCACGGCCACGATCTGAGGGGGTTCTTTGATAATGAGAAGTTGAAAGGGGAGGAACGCAAGCCCTGCATGACGAATGTGACTGCCACCAATTGGTTAAGGTCTCGGACTTGTAGGGCCTCGACGTTAAACTCACCAAGTACTCTGTAAGGAACTCTCCCTTCCTCTACTGCACTTGCATGAGACTTGCCGAAGTCTTCCAATGTCTCTGGATGACCATGAACTGTGTACCAGGAACTGGCTCTCCAACTGAGATCCCAAGAGGAGATGGAACGCGGGGAAAGGGATGATTACCATGTCCAAGCAACTCCCTTGAGGGTCACTATGAAAGCCTTGCACATCAAGCCTTCGGACGAGCCGTGCAACATCATCAAAGCCTTCAATGTGATCGTTGGGGTCCATGGCTCTGTCATACTTTTCAAACTGCAGAGGTCGCCAGCCGGCTAGGGGGGAGCTCCTTGGCAGGCTGGTTGTTTGGTTCAGTGGTTCGGACCGCAGGAGGAGCCGCACTTCTGTCAACCTGGCTACGCTCCAACTCGGTCAGGCGTTGTCTGAGTTCCCTAATCTCTGCATCCCTATTGTTTGGTACTATGGGCATGACCTTTTCTTTCTTGGGAACTGTTGGGCAGTCTTGACTGAACTAGACTAAGACCGACTAATGCAGTGCCCATTTGCCGAGCCTTTCTTTGGCTAGTACTCGGGTAGATCAGTGTATTTTGTTGCGGTCATCGCGTTCACGGGACCGGGTTGAGGAGTCCGGTTTTCTTGATGGTTGCTGCCTTTCTTGGTTAGACCGTACCCTATCCTTGTTTGACCGTGCTTTTCGGGGTCCTCAAGGCGAGGATCGGTCATGGTAAGCGTTAGGGAAGGAGGGGGGATAGTCTGAGTAGGTTGCACTATAGATCCCAGTGTCTACATCATCGCCAAGATCTGGTCAACCTTCTGTTGCATCACTTGGAACTGGGCATGGTCGATTGTAGTCTATGGTTGAGGTTGTTGCTGGGATTCGCGATGCAGAGGGTTGTGGTGAGAACAGGATCCTCGAGATGGGGATTGGCCTATGGAGCAATCGGATGTGTTTCTTGGCATCTTTCTTGATTGCACAGAAAGAGGGTTTGGATTGGCTTTTTGTGTGATTCCCACAGACGGCGCCAATTTGATGTTGTTCGATCCGAGATGTCCCGAACCAAGGCCATAGTCAGATAATCCTGCCAACTGGCAAAGCCGAGGTGGAAGGATGAAGTCATGCTCCAAGAACTGAAACAAGAAACTGGTCAAAGGCCCGAGGAGTTATTCCCCGGGTAGGTACTCCAATGCTCAAGTTAGTCAAGAATGGTGGGTGGTCGGACCGAGTAGTTGAAGACAATGTTGGTCAGAGCAGAGTAACAGAGTGTTAGAAAGTCAAAATTTTGAATCCCTTACTTTGAGCGGGGGTTACCTTTTTATAGCCGAAGATCCATATCTTGATTGGATGAGGCTTCTGGGTTGTCGAGATGAGGTTATTCGATGAGGTCTTCGAAATAAGACTTAATCCCTGGTGAAGCTGTCTCCTTATCCATACGATCCTCTCTTGTCTTGCTTGCGCTTATCCAAATGACGTGGTGCTAACGTGACCGAAGAGATAAGATGGTTGCGGAGGTAACACATGGCACCCGGGGCTAGCTCAACAATAACCCAAACAGATGCAATATTTTCTCCCAAAGCTACAACATTCCAACAACTCTTCCAAACAAACATTTTAATTTTTGGATCAATTTTTATTTTCCAAATTTCTTTCCATAGCTTCTTGTTTAGGCTATTTTGACTTTCTAGAGAAGAGTTTGGATCTTGATTTATGAAGTTCTTGGCCAAAAAGTAAGCTGACTTAACTGAGAATTTGCCAGATGAGCTTTCTTCCCAAATTAGCCTTCTTCCCAGTTACCTTGAGCTAGATTAATCTTCAGAATTTTGTTTGAAATAAATTCCGAGAAAGCATTTCTGATTAAATTCACATTACAGCATCTCCTATCTTGATCAATGAGATCACTAACAAAGATTGGGTTGGGTCTCAAAGGTCCTGGGCCCATTAACCTGAAGCTCGGGATATCCCCTAACCATGGATCTTTCCAAATCTTGACTTTTTCACCAGTATTAACATCCCAACAAGCACCTAGTCTAAGAATGCCCTTTCCTGCAAGCAACCTTTGCCAACTCCAGGAGCCTCTCTTTGGAAAATTATCATTCAAAAAATCCTTGCCTCTTAGATACTTTGCTCTAATTAAATCCATTAACTATTTGACTCCTTTTATATTACCACTAAAATTGCAATAAGAAATGTTATATTTGAATTAATATTCCCAATATGTCATATAATGAAACCATAATCATTGTCTAGTTAGCTTCCAATGTTGTTCCTCGCATTAGGAGAATTAAGAAGTTTTGTCTTCCTCATGTTGCACTCAGGTATCAGGTTCGTCCATTTGAGTTCTTCTAGCTATGAGATCTACTATCTCAAATGTTATCCGATTAGATTATCATAACCATCTAATCTTATTGTCGTTGGCTAAAGTTTGATGCAGTTGTTCTTTAAAATTCTATTTATTGGATGATATAGTTAGTTGGTTGAAAATTATCTAGCATTCAGGATTTTTTGGATGATTGGTTATGGATCATTAGATAGTTCATCTTATGATATAATTCTATCTTTCCTAAATCACAAGGAGAAACAATTGTTGATATGTTTGTCACATTAACTCCAGACCCAGATTACCAGTTGCCACTTATTGCTTTTGCTCCAACTCCAGTAACCAGAAGTTCTAGGTTTCAGAGAAGACTAAATCTGCCTTTGCAACTTCTAAGTAAAAAGGCAGTAGTGTAGGATCTGCTATCATGACAAAGAACATGGACACAGGGTATGTGTTAACTAGGGCTTCATAGGTAACTGGTGCTTTCAATAAAGTTGCTAAGGAAGCAGGAGAGGTGTAAAAAAGCAAGAAAGAAGGTTGGCATGGTTGAAGAGGAACATAAAAGAGGAATTATGGAGGACTATGCTTGGTTGGGTTCACCTCTTTGAGTCACTAGAAGCTGCATCAGGTGAGGAGCCTTCCAAACCTGCACTTGCACATGGGTTGATCCTAATTGACTAAAATTTTGTAAATATCTTTGTATAGTCTTGGGATTTTATTTGTCTATGATTTACCAGGTGCTTTGTTCTTTTAGTTTTAAGGTGGTAAATGTAGAATAAGTTACTTCTTGGATCGGGTTCGGGCTGAAGAAGGCAAGAAGTCAAGCTTTTAATTTTTGGGTTGGGCCCAAGCTTAGCCCTCAGGTAGTCAGATACACATTAATACATACATATGTATATATATGTACATTTTGCGTTCATATTTACATACATACATGCATATACATGCATACATACATACAAATATATATATATATATATATATATATATATGCATGTATAATTTAGAGTGGGTTCATTGACCAGCCTGAGCCGGGCCTAGGCCTGAGCCCAACCCGAGTGCATCAAATTATAGTGTGGGCTAGGCTTAGGTTGGAAAGATTGGGCTCGAGCCTTAAGTCCAAATTTTAGGGTCGAGCCCGTGTTGACCATAAACCCGACCCAACCCGCCCAACTTGCACCCCTACCAAGTTGTTTTAACTTGTAATATTTGTTATATATCTTGTAATATATATTGTTAATGAGGTTACGAAGTCGCAATTTGGGTCCTAGAATGAGTATCAAACTAACAGCTAGCCTTCTAAGCCTATGTTGTTGGTTTGTCATCCTTATGGAGTGGGACCCACAAATCAATAAACACAAAAAGAAGAAAAAGGTGTAAAATGACAAAAAAAAGAAAAAAAAATGACTTTGTATTTTTGGCTTGTCTTACAAGCCAATACGTCGGTTACCCAACAAATTGGAACAGCTCACTTACGACTCTTTAAACCCCAATAGCTCTCTAAGGAAAAAATTAGAGAAAGAAAAGGGCCTTGAGAAAGACGAATCCATTTTTCAGCATCTTTTCCTACTTCCTTGTTGTGCTTCCACTCTTGGTGAGAAACATCTTGTTTACTATCCATTTTGTTGAT